CTGTCTTTCCTTCCACGCCGTTCGAATATCGTTCCCTCATAGTTCATATATCAAACGCTTAGGCAAGGCGGCGACACATAAATACCGTACACGGTATATAAAAGCCAGCACCTCCGAGGGTTATATCCCACTAGGTAAAATATATTAACACGGCCGCGTGGGTTTCACGATTTTCGGGGACACTTCTCCTCTTCCCGTTTCTCGATCTCTCGCTGGACGACGCGGCTGGGGGATTCACCTCGTCAGATCCTCCTCGCCAACATCGAATGACTTATGGCAGCGGCGCGCTTTAAGTCCCTCCGCGCGACTATCGCGGGATTATGGTACCCACGCAACTATAATGACACGCTCGCTCTTTCTTCCCCCCCCCCCCCCCCCCCCCTCCTCGACCTCTCACGGAATTCGACTAAAAGCCGAAGAAGCTATTAGGTTCTCGTGGATCCTCCAAGATCTCACAACTTTCTCGGATTGGAGCTATGTTTGATCGTACGACGGACGTGTAAAGGAATTTAATGTGAGAAGCTAAGAAATAATGCAAAGTGTGGCGATGAAAGAAGTTGAGGAACTGGAAAACGGTAATCTGACATTTTGGTGGTGTTTAATAGTAAAGGAAAGAATCAACGTTTATATTTCTCGTGTCCGGTACTTCGGTACACAAAAACAATGTACTCGAAACGAACTAGAAGAACTACGTCCTCGAGTACGAAAGTAACGTGTAAGAGTAGATCTGGAATAAATTGGACGGCATTAGGAGCGGCAGCATGTTCCACGAGCAATCGAGGTATGGCAGCGAAATGAACTTAACCGAGAGAGAGAATCGGGGGCACAGTTTGTGCTAACAGCGTTTGATCTCGGTTTGTCCCCTGGGACGCTAACAATGCCTTATGTCAGTTCCAGGAACGCGTACTCGTTGCACGTAGAAGTTCGTGGCTGTTCCTGGTTCTCCGCCCAAGGAGTTTCCCGGATAATCCGATCACTGGCCTACTCCCTGCCGACTTGGGGCCTCATTGTCGTGTTTATTATGGCACGCGGCACCATTCGCCGGCGTTACAGTTGCAAACGATACAAACGATCCAATTTCGTGCACGGGGGAGAATCGATTCTCCGAATTCACGGAAACTTCCTATCGCGGGGATTCCCCGCGGACGTTTGGAATCGTTACGATCCTTCCTGTGAATTTTCGAACGTTCGTTCGTTAAGGAACGCGTTGTAAATAAACGTAAAACGCAAGCTCCTGCACGGATACAGCTGTGATCTTAAGTTGAGCAAAAGTGTACCTATTTCTTATTGTTGGGTGTAGGGACGCGATGCTAGCCTATTAAAAGCTCAAGAACGTACAACAATAAGTAAAGCGCGACGACTGAACCTTCGACAAGAGTATAACCACTTTCAAACTAAACAGCGTGCCGCATAAATTGCCACCGTTCCTTGAAAACATGCGAGTCGTCCTCGTGAGTCAATCGCGAAACGAGATCCAGCGACGCGGAGGATCGTTTATTTATCGCGATCGATCGACGCGCCGCGAGTGGTTACACGGCGAGCGCGTAAATGGCCCCGGGCCTTTATTTAATAAGTTGTTATAAATTAAAGGGCTACTGCGTATTAAACCACTCTCGGAATATTTATAGTGATTCTTAAGAGAGTACGCGGTACAGATATGTAAATCATCGGGTCTGGCGCACTCGAGACTCGCAGGTTTCGATCCCTCGTTCGCTTCGGCACACGCAGACGATCCTCTCGATCTTCTTCGCCTTTCCTGCGCCTATCTTTCCTTCCTACCCAGTCCGTCTCGGCTATTGGCGAGTGTGTGAGTTCGCACACACTCTTCGCCACGCTTATGAATTTATCTTCGACGGTGAAACGACAAACGGTTTTAATTGCCGCTCGGGGCTGCGCGAGGGATCGACGCGAATCTCGCGGGATTCCGCGCTCAGTCGCAACCTCGTTATTTCGTACCAAAGATACGCCGATAAGCTTCGAGGTCCGAGTTCCTCGTTCCACTTGGGGTGAACGTTGGCCAGTCTGCGATGAGAAGATCCCCGGACCACGAGGAAAAACCTAAATCGATCGCTTTTTCCCTGGATGAGAGGGAATTTGTTCGAATTGAAATACCAATGAATTATAGCGCGATGCAAACAGACCTCTACCGAAGTCAGGAAATCTTGAGTGCAAAGAGTTAACACATTTCTGACCGGCAATTTTACACGGAAGCGATTTCATAAACTTTATTTATATTTTACCAACATAACGAATAGTTTTTACGTACCTAATACATAATACATAGTACATAATACATAGTACATAATGCATAATACATAATACAACTTTTCGCTCAATGTCTCGATGAGCTCACAGTTGCAGAGATCGCGTGCGAGTTTCCCGGTCGAGCCAGGTCGACCGAACGGAAAGATCGTTTCCACGGTGGAAAGCAAAGAAACTAAATAAACGGCGAAATCCGGGGCGTGCGTTCCTGTGCTTCGCGAAGCGGAATGCATCCATTAAAGGATGCAGCCACGCGCCGAGATAAAGGATCCTGGGGGAGACTAAATAGTTTCCTATAGCCGCAGGCAGTGCACGATTGTGCATCGAGCCGTCGTAGAACAACGGGACGAGGTACGTTCTCACGTTTCGGCGTGGAACGTTTCGAACGTCACTTTTAACGCGCGTGTCGTTTTACGAACCCCCTAGTTAATCGATAAAGATGTTGCGGCGTCCGATCTCCGTAATCCCACTGCTCCATTTCATCCGAGATCAACGATACTGTACCTCGGTTGAGAACGATGCGAATTATTCGTTTAGTGTCCAGTCAGATTCGTCGAAAGAATTCGGTGTGGAAGAAACTTTTCATCTATTATAAAGTTTTGATCCTTGCTAGTAAAATAATCGAGTAGAAAATTGTTAAAATTTAAATTTAAAGGACGAGATACGACAAGGTACAAATCCTCGTGTTTTTACAAAATTATTAAGACCAATATTGCACCATTTAAGAAAACATTGGTCCTTGCAAGTTATTTTAAATTTATCTCGTAAATATATTAAATCTTTTACTTTACCACTTTATGGACAGACGTAGAATGCCTTCCCCTGCGTTTGCCCGAAGGAATCTCGCTTGAAACGTTGAGAAGTATTCCTTATATATGCGCAAAGAGTGTATCGATGGGCTTCGGGGAATTATGCGCGGATTAATTTTCCATGCGTCGATTCCGAAGGGCCTTAGGGTGAGCCCTTTCGACGCTTAATTGGCTCGCGCGTACGTGGCTATGTGTGCACAGTTCCTCGATCCTTTCCTGCGTGATCTACACGCCTGGTCCACTGTGTACACTGCCTGCGTATTCGAGAAGCCATGAAACTCTCTAACAACTCAAATTGGGTAGTGCCAATCCTGAAACTATTACATTGGCCAAAAAATTTGTTTGGTTTGTCGTCGCAGTTGTCTCTCTACAGTTTGGATAGTTACTAACTTTTACTACTTTTATAAGGAGAACTTTGCAACGGAGTCTGGCAGAAATTCCTGTCGAGTTTCATCTTCTTTCCATTACGAACTTTGAAGGTTCCAAGAACGAGTTACATTCTTCCTCGAGTTCTAAAGGATGCACTTCGTCGTGGTCCAACAGTTCGCCCCGCGTTAATCGAGTATTCGAATAAAAATTCAAAGCCACTCCGATCGCAAATTAATGCGATTCTTGCACATTGTGCTCCCGCACACGTGCATCGTACCTTACCCACCTTGCACGCGTTGGATGTCGCCCTGTGATGTTTCGGGGTAGGTTCTATCTAACCCACCGCACGTGTCGGCTCAGAATGTAGGGCGTGAATTTACGTGCACGCACACCCACGCCATCGAGGAACCGCATAATAGCATCACCCTCTTAGTTAACATCTTTGTGTACGTTGCACGCGTTCCCCGCATAACGAAAGAACCGACTACCTTTCCCTTCGTGTTTTGACACGGAATTTGTTATAATAAATACGGGCCAAGTGCGCAGCGCGTGTTCCTTCATACGTATTGTTGAATCAATTGCATGAATAGACTGTAAATTTTATGCATTTACGGAGCTTGTACCGAACGCGGGCAGGATTTGTTTGAAAGAAAATGATATAGTGTATTAATTAATATTCTGTCTGAATTTACTGTCTAACCGTAAAGAACATGAAAGTCAACGAACTAAACGATCATACAGTGATCTACTTTACGGTAATTCTTTTAAGTGAAAGAGCGAAATAATTCTTCTAACCATTTTCGAGCGAATAAAAAACGATTGAAGAATAAGTTTCAGTCAAGGTGTAAGGAGTCGCGTGTATCTACCCTCGATGACGAGAAGATGACAACCTGCGTGTAAAGTAATTTTTCGTTTGTTCGACGGGATGCCTAGAGGCACATGGAGGTCGCCTTTAATGTCAGACACATCTAACCCCCTTTGCACGTGTCATACCGGGCACTAAGGGCGTGAACTCACGTCCACGCACGCCCACGCACGAAGGGAAGATAACCGTTGCGGGGTCACTCGACACGTCGAGGTCTCGCACAATCTTCCTCTCCCCCGCCCTGATGGAACGGCGATGTGTAACAACCCTTACCGACACGACTGGCTCCCTCTGTTGGGGTTGCACAATCGCGCCCTGATTGATAATTTATACGGTGCGTGCAGGTTATTTGATTATCTGTCCCCCACCTCCCACGGCTGGCCCGCTCTCTTCTGCTTTCGTCTCCTTTCCTGTGTGCCATTCTCTCCTCTCGTTGGTCGATTCATCTCTTGTCTTTCGGCGACCAGAGCAGTCTCCTTTTCCAAATTGATCCAACTTCGCTAACGCTAGATTCTTCGAATCTTTCAAACCTTTCTAAGTTAGCTACATTTAGCCCAGTTGTGCTTTCAACACAACGTCTAACACGTTGGTCTCCAGAAATGGGTGATGGGACTCTTCGTTAGAGAAGCAAACAAATTAATTCCAAAGGTGACAGAACAATGAAAATAAATCTGGATCGGACTCGTGAATACGTCCAAGCTCGAAAATTAAATACTAGGACAAGTATTTAACCCTATAGAAATTTTCGTGAATTTTACAGCCATCGTGTTTCGTGATTCTAATTATTCAACGTATCGTTGTCAGACCATGGTTAGAGTGGTCACTTATCGCTATTGTCCCGTGTTTTCGCTCGACTAGTGGGGGTAAGCGAGGACAATTACATATTTTTCATCTGATTCTGAGATTGCGGGGAACCCCACAGAAACTGTGGCATATTACGCTGCAAAGAACACGAGGGTGGAGACATGGGCAGGGGTTGACATGCGGGCGAAATCCGTGGTCTGACAGCGAACCTAGGGACTGCGTGGTGCGTTGATGACATAATTGGTATCATTCGGGATCTTCTTTTGAGATAACCCATGGTTCGACCCCTTATGTTCACGGATATACACGCCTAGTCCATATGTGAGTATCCACACATGCGCATCCACGCAGTCGGTGGACAAAAATCAGAAATCAAACACAACCACCTCTTTTTCTATGCGAATCTCTTGTTACACGCTAAATAAACTTTTATAATTTAATAATATTATTAAGGAATCTGCATTGTAAGTTTTGTTAATTTCTCACACATTTTCAAGCAAGTCATTCAATAACACAATCAGAATTCTGCTCGATACAATAAACACATTCTGCATCGAATTCAGTATCGAAAATTCAAAGTAATTTCCGCTCACAAACGTGATTTAATTGCCACAGGTTTCCCAAAGAAATACTTCTCCTTGAAACCATTCCTCGCATTATTTCTCTGGCTCGAATCTCTTCCGCAAAATCGATTGGCGAGGTCCCTTTTCCGTTGGTCCTGCTCCACGTTCAAGGCCTTGAAACCGTTTAGTCCACTCTCGTCAGTATCGACGCCCAATGCTCCATCCTTCGACAATCTCGTCTTCGAGGAACACTTCATATCAGCAACGCCATCGACCAACTTGTCGGCATTAACTTCGGTCGATTTCAATTGTCCCCTCTGACTTTCACCGACCGACTTTTTAATCTCAAACTGAACGTCCTCGGTGGACGTCAGGTTGACACCCGAGTCCACGATAACAATGTGATGCTCCACGCTCGGTTTTATCCTAGGTTTCGTCCTAGACCTGACAGAACTCTGCACACTAGAGTCCCCAGACGTCTCGAGCACTGGTTTATTCGTTTCCTTGGAAGACAAACGCGACTTCAGGTTGGTTCTGAACCTCGACGCAATTGGATTCTTCGATCTGAACCGATTCCCAATCCTTATAGGCAGTTTGGAGTAACTGGTACCTTCAGATCGAACCTTCTTCTCCATCGCCATTCTGGAACACTGACTGGATGCCAGAGAAGATTCGTCTGTCTTCGATCCATCCAACTTGCGCTTCAATCGCGCTGCAGTCTTCTCCACGAAGTTCATACCAGGCTTCTTATCCTCGATAACGTCCCCAGGACCATCGTCGACCGTCTTCTTCTTCTTCTTATCAGCATTTAACTCAGACCTCGTCTTGCTGTTCGACCTCTTCAGGTACCGACTCGACCGTCCAGTCCACCCAAACGCGTGCTTGTGGGCGAATTTACTCTGAACATCGCTCTTGAGATTCGCGACAGTATCTGGACACTTGTGAATCCTCGAGATTGCTTCCTTAGAGTTTAGTTTCTCCTCCATATCAGTCACCAGTTTATTCAGCTGAGAGGAATGGTTTATTCGATCGCTAGCTCCTGCGCTCAGAGGTCTAGTCAATGGAGAATCGTTCGAGGACTTGGAGAGGACAGTTCTTTTCTTCGATTCGACGCCATCTTTACCACTCATCGAGCGTTTCGTCGCTGAAGAACTCCTGCTGTCCACCTTCCGCTGGAGCGAGCTAGGAATCTTCAGACCCTTAGGAACGCTCCCGTTGTTCTGATCGTCCATGGGGATGAACTCCCAGAACCCGTTTGCCAGCTTACTTCGATCCTCCTTCGGCGTTTTCCGGGGAAGATCCTCGAAGGAGATGACAGAGTTCAGAATCTCGGACAGACTGTCTCTGTCCACTGCGCGATCCACGAATCGCTTCAGGTTCGCAGGAGTTTGAGAATTCGAGGTCTCGCGGAGACGAGAGTCAGGCTTGCTTGATGGGTCCTCGGGATCTCGAGCTTGCGATTTCGAAAAGGATCGAGCCCTGTTCCGTCGATCCTGGGGCGGTGAACAGGTCCTGGATCGAGATCTAGCGTCGTGTGCCTCTTCCCATCGCTTGGTGGCGTTCGATCTCTGCGAACTTGAGATCCTCGAGTTCGTAGGGTTGCATCCGTGTCCTGGCGTCCTCGAGATCTCCTCGTGAGAAGGATTAGCATCGTAGACGAACGTGCTTCGTCTCTGCCAGTGGTCTGGTCGTTCAGACTCGTGGACATCCTGATATTCAGGTCTCATGGGTCCTATTCTCTCTCTGTCAGGGACTACTCCTTGATCGTAGATCTTGGAGTCGATTTTGGAGTGATTGGATCGAACAAACTGGGACCGAGGATCGCCAGTTTTGGGTCTCGGGCGTGTTTGAAAGACAGAGTCGTCTCTCATGGCGTTTGGCTGAATGTTGTAGAAATTGTCGTGATTCCAGTGACGTGGACTAGTCCTATCGGGTGACGTCCTCCAATTCGTCCTGATGTCGCTTCTTTCAGGGTTTTTTCTGAAGGGAGGGTCGTCGTATTCGTTATACGTGGGATAGTGCTTCCAACAGTGCTGGGGGATTCGTGAATGAAATTGAAATTGATAGTTTCGTTTAAAATAATACTAAATAATCAATCTGAATTTCTTTTAATTTAAACAAACTACGCCTTACCTGATGACCGTTTTCATCTTCCCGAACAACAGAGTGCAATTTTCCAGGATCCATCGCGGTCCTCTCGCCTTGACCACGAAACGCTTCTCTAGGGGACCTAATTCTAGACTGTTCCTCAGAATGCAGCCTCCAAGTGTCGTTTCCCCTTAGTTTAGGCATTTTTGCGCGATAATGCCGATCAGGGTAATGCGAATGTGCTGGCACCCTGGCATCGCAGCCCGTGTCCAGAAGCTCGACGATCTTCCTAGAGTCCTCGGAGGCGTCAGCTGAGAAAATCGGTGGCACGTTGTCCACGAAAAAGAAGAACGGGTTCTCAGCGAAGGTTTTCATGTCGCACGGTCATGTAGAAATCTCGAAACCCGTAAACATCGTCCTTTCGATCTATTCTCGCGCGGACCATTTAATTTCGAATTTCACGTGAATTTTTCCTTATAATTTGAATGGCATTTCGTAGCTTCCTCCTGGATCCATATGATCTCGAACGTGTTACTCTGAATTTTGGATTCGACACTCGCCAAATTAGGCGTGTTTTATCTCCGACATTTTTGAAAACGAATCGACTCCACGATGGTCAAGTGTTTTTTTAGAAATACAGTCATTGATCTGTTCAACGTTCACTTTCAATTCTCTTATCTCCGATTATATTTCTAATTATATCTCTATGTTATACATTATTTTTATATTATACCCATTTTATATTTATCGATGTTTTATATATTATTTCTATGTCATATCTCTAATTATTATCTCTAAGAATTCTTTTATCTATCGAGATGCAGAGACTGTTAGCAGTTCACGAAAACGACCATACGTGTGGCGCTAGCTTCTTTATTTATACTCTACTGACTTTACCGTTTGAGTATTCGTTATCATGAACGAGGAATGGATAGTTTATGAAATTAGATTTTGGATTAGAAATAGACCAGCAATCAGTATCGTGTTCGAAGTTGTGTCGCACGAAATAAAACGCACGTATACCGGCCTCGTGAGAAATCAACGATCGTATCGCATTCTACGTTTCCATGAGATGATAACTCCGAGAACCATTTCCTTCCATTCCCTTCAATTACAATGAATAAAACCTTTGTTCCATTAAACTCTAAACGGGTCCTAACAAAACAATGAATTTCTTCAGTATTATACTCCTTTTATTACACTGTTTGTCACTTTCCTTTGACAAGAATATTAAATTAACAGAATAGAAATAAAGTTAAATGTTAAATGAACTTTATATAATTCACATGCTGTACGCCACATAAGCATTTCCAATCCAGCAGCCACCTAATCAATTTCGAGTTTCTTGAAACTTCCTTCAACTCCAAAGAGATCGGTTATCGATTTCCCTTTACCAGGTCTCAATGACTCGTTGACTCGTTTCGTTCGTTCTTCTTCAACGAACCAATCGCGATTATCCTCCAACGTTTTGATAACTTTTGCGTGCAGTTCCATCGTGGCTCCCGCTTTTCCCCCAATTTCGTTTGGCAGCGCATCGATGGGGATGAACTTCGACAGAGTCTCCAAATTTGTATGCGTGTGGAGCTGAATTTTTAAAATACAAAAAAGTACAATGTCAAATCAATGGTGCCTTGAAGACTATAGGTACAACAAGCGACCCAAAACTTATCCAACGTCATAGAAACATTCGTGTCGACTACAGAAAAACGAACACACATGGTGCGTAGACTAGGTGCGTGTGAATCAACACCCAGCTTACGCACCACGTGCATCCATTCCCCAAACGACACAGTAGCGAAATTTAAATAACGTAACAGCGTAATAACAATAAGAATAATGTGTTATGCATCACCATATCCAACAATTCCTTCTTCATAAATGGCTTCATCATGTTGAGTATCACGTCCATCACAGGCGTGATGTTCATGAAGTGAAATCCTTTTAGGCGAACTGGCAGACCTTCTTGCAAGAAGAAGAGATACTTCTTCAATCCCATGGGGCTCAATCTAGCAGCGTGTCCAAAGACGACGTTTTTCATGTCGAACAATATTATGTGTCCCTCTGACGTGCCTTCCTTCGCAAGCCACAAATCCACGACCATGCTCAAGTATTTCATTCCATCGTTGTAGACGTAATTGGAGGGATCGCGATCGATTAGCGTGCCATAGAGAATCGAGTAACCCTCGTCTGTTTTTTTGTCCAAAACCTGGACGGTCCTGTGACACATTTTTTAAAAGTAGTCTTAAAATTATTTAGCAATAACCAAGACATACTATTGCAAGAGATACGTGGCGATCGAGGAATATCGTGCGTGCAGCTGCTAATTAAGATAATATGTAACGGAGATAATTGAGCCGTGAGAACGTGAAACCATGACTGCGTAAAAGAAGAGAAAAAAGAGCCGTTCTGAGTAAACATCGCTGACGTTCACTATGATATCGCAGTCCATTTCTTGGGACGTTTAATCGTTAAGATATTCCACAATTTTCTCTTCGATAAAATGTCTAACAAAGAAGTTGATTAGTTTTTTCTTGAAAGCTTGCAAAACCTCGATAAACCACGTTTAGAGAAACCTGATCTGGAACGCACGCTACCTCGTACAAGAGTCATTTAATAACGATGAAAAGGCAATTTTTCTAGTAATTGAACGTTTCGAACGAGGAAGCATCCAAATTCAGTGTCTCCAGAAACAAGTTATATAAAAAATTCATTTCACATTTCTGATTTATTTTTAAATAAAGGATCACTCATACTTGAAATTGCAAGGTATCGCAATAATCTCGAAAGAATAAGTAGTTCTATCTATTGTTTGCGAGCACTCACACTGTCTGAAAGGCTTTCCTCAGCTCCTTCAGTCCAAAGGGATCCCTATGCGCGAAAAATTCAGGTACGTGCGTCTTCACGGTGTAATACGTATCGATGGTTGCCTTTGTGGGTTCCATTCGATAGTAATTGCTATGGAGAAACAGAGCCAACTCCGCGTCTGTTACCTTCGGTAGATGAGGCTGCTTCTTGTACCAGTCTCTCAACACTTGCATGTCTTCTTCTTTCAATTCTGGATTCTTCTTCAACTCCTCTTCGTACGTTATTGGTTTGATCGGAGCCATGTCGACTTCCTTCAACAGAACATTTTTCTCAACCTTTTTCATTTGCAGACGATTGACTTCCACGTTTAATTGTAACAATGTTAATAAATATTTTAAAGCTCCTTCCAAAAGGTCCTCTTAATACATTCATCAAATCGATACTTACACGTAAATTCTCCGATTGGAACTAAAACGAAGTATATGTACAAATTAAAGCACACAAAAGAAAACGATTTCGTGATGATCGAGTCGACGGCTGCGACTGCACTGGCTCCTGAGCACATTCAAACGCAATCGAGCTCTTCAATTGCGATGGAAGAAGCTAATACTATGTAATCGCGTGCAGCATAATAGCCGAGATCATCAGACATGCGAGTGTCAAATTACGTATTCCAAACTGACGTGAAAATTGATCGATGATGATAAAAAAAATATCACAATAAATACATGAATTTCATTTAAGGACACGTTGAGGATTTCGTTTTACTGTTAATAACTTCCTGTTGTTACGACCCCTGGCTGTAATGTTTCAGTCGAGGCTTTGGTCGTTGATCTCTAAACATAATTTAAATAATTATTTAATTAGTAATGGTAACGAGTCGTAACGAACATGGGTCGTTAACGAGATGTTTAGTTATTCTTGTCCACTAAACTGTGAGAATAGATGGAACTTGTCTTCTGCAGAATAATTAGAGTCGAACACTTTACTCGATCCATTTAACGAAGTGAAAATTAATCGAGAGATGAAGATACAGCACGTAGCTATATTTAATTATACTTTCATAGTCGCTCTATTTAACATTGAAACGTAAATATACATTAACCATTAGAAGAAATGTGGAGAAGTCTTATAGAAAAATTATATTATATATTAATTATGTATCTTATTCGTTACAGCCTAAATAAACTTAACGTTCATTTATTTCTCCTATTCGTACAAAATAAATACACAGTTTCAATAACACTTCGTGAAAATTCTCCTAACGCTTAGAAAATGACTTTTGACGGTTCACTGTTTGAATTTTCCAGCAATTTTAAACGATACTTAATCTATCTCGAGCTTTTTGAAAGTCCCCTCGACCCCGAAAAGGTCGCTGGCAGTCTTGCTTTTTCCAATACGCAGAGACTCGTCCACGCGGCACAGTTTCTCTTCCTCGATGAACCAATCCCGTTTGCTATCTATCTCCTTTACTTGATCCTCCTGCATCTTCAATATAGGTCCAGCCTTTCCACCTACTTCGTTTGGGAGCACGTCGAGGGAAACGAATTCCTCCAACGTTTTCAACGACGAATGCAGGTGTATCTAAAAGAGAAAGAAATAGATTCAATGGAATACGAAACTTTGAGAAACAAAGTAGTTCTGAATTCCAAGTGTTTGTTTATCCCCCGTGGTACGTAATTTGCATCGCAAAATGGTTACCTGCCACTATATCGCGAAAATGTAGACGTCGCTCCACAGATCGGTAAATTGTCGTTTTACACAATGTCTAACATGGAGATTTACTTCCAGTAATCACTGTTTACGTAATCGAACGTCGAGGAGGAAAGAGCAAAGGATATTATCTCGCAACCAATCGAATGAAAATCAATGAACGTGAGATTTGATTCAACTTGTACAAAATCAGGCTCGTTACAATCCTTACCCTACGACTTTCAATAGTGAAATGGTAAAAATTCTTATCTTGGCGAATGTCTCTCCCCTCCCTTATCGAAAGGACCAGCAATCCTAGCTCTAATAAGAACCAATAATAAATAACACAAGTTTTTCTCGAAACACATGCTGATGAGGATAAATAATTATACAATCATCAACAGAAAAGCGACTTCAAGGATGACCAGTTCTACTAACGTAGAATTAATTAGAATAAACGCTACACTCGATAATGTTTTCGACAACACCGATGTTGATACATACTATTTGTCATAATTTACAATATATAGAGAGAAAATTGAGTAAAAATATATATATACACGTAGCTTGCGCTGATCTAATCATCATCTCACCATGCTCCACAGTTCCTTCTTCATAAATGGCTTCGCCATGTTCATTACCAGGTCCATCACTGACGGCGTGTTAATGAAATGTATTCCCTTCAAACGAACAGGTATCGCTTCCTGAAGGTACATCACTAGCTTCTTCACTCCCATGGGACTCATTCGACCCACGTGACCCAGCGACACATCCGTCGAGTCCCCGATAAAAATATATCCATCTATGGTTCCAGTTTTCAGACCAACCAAATCGGACATCATGAAGAACGACTTGGTGAGGTCGTCGAAGGAATAGTGCGATGGATCGGGGTCCACCAATTTTCCGAACAGTATCTTGTAGCCATCCTTGGACAAGCTGGGCAGTTCAGTGGCGGCTCTGTAAAGGGACAAGACGGATTAAACAATTGGTGAGAATAACATCGGTACAGAATTTATCCAAATTACGTAAAAAGCGAGTAGATTAAAAAGGTAGTTGAAATTTCAGTACTTCGAGGCACACTATACAGGAAACTACACGAAATGCTGCTTGGACCTTTGCAGAGGACTCAAAAGGATCTAAATAGTTACGCGTAGTGTATAATAATTATTATACACAAGTCTAAGCATATCAATTGTGATTTACTTCCAGCGATTTCCGATGAATACATCGAACTCTATGTAACAATTAAGAGCATTTAATAAAGAAACATAAAAAACTGCAGAAGTTTGAAAAAAAAAAAACTTACCCGACATTGAAGGCCTGGCGCAGCTCCTTCGATCCCAAAGGGTCCCTCATCGAGAAGAACTCAGGAACGTGGGACCTGATGGTGAAGAAATTCTCCGCCGTGTTCTTTGCAGCCTCCATACTATAGTAATTGCTGTGCAGGAACATGACCAGATGCTGATCCGTCATCTTTGGCAAGTGTTGCTGCTTCTCGCACCATTCCCTCAGCATCTCTAGATCCGACATCTTTATCTCGGGGTTCTTCTTCAGTTCTTCCTCTAAGGAAAACGGGTACGGAGAAGACACCATCTTCTTGTTAACCATTCTGCTGCAAATAGTTCCTACAAAGGATCCTGTTGAAAGGACGCGATTTTCCTGCAACGTGTCGATCAGGCTCGCGACAATCGCTGGGAGTCCTTGAATCGTTAAACACCTCTAAACAGTCGTCACTGAACTAGACACACTATAGGCGACGTGCATTCGCCTAATCGTTATGGAAATGAGTCGTGATCGATTGTTTTGCCTCGCAGGATTATCCAGACTTTCCAGGTGGTCGTTCCAGTGTCCCAGCGAAGACTGCCGCCTCGATTTTAATTCATATCGCAAATTAATGGCCAGTGGAGCTGGTGGCGGAAGCCACTTACAGCTGCTAGCCCGTTCCAACGTTTCCATTAGAGCGCAAAAGAACTGTGTTACTGAGATAGCAGTGCTGCAAGTTTTCCGGAAGAAGAAAGATAATTGCGGACGCGGCAAGGTATCCATTAGGTCTCGTTAATTCGTCCATACGTACACGAGTGACGTTAGGTATAGGAATTGGGTGCCTTTGTATTCGATTATTTGTAACTACAGGTCAAAAGATTAAGAAATAATATACTAATCTCATATAAAGAAGTTCAAAGACTGCGCGTGTTTCTGGAGAACTTAATGGTGCTTTCAAAAACAAAGATGTCGGACGGTTGTTCGCAAGATTTTTTGCCAAAGGTCGTTGATTGATGTCGCCGCGCGAGTTAATTAGTTTTCATGGGAGAACAACGGAAATTATGAAAGCATCGAAATGGAGGTGGCGTTCACCGACGCGAAAGAATCGCGACGCTTTCTAATTTAATCATTTTATGATCTAATTCCTCCTGCTGGTTCCGTTTCAGGCGCAGACATTTCTACCGCATCGCCGCGCGTGAAACGTTTTCATTCGGAAAGGACGCTCGTGAAATTTTCGTGATGCTTTAACGCGCCAATCACGGCCACTTTAATATTCATTACCATAGCGGTTATTTTAACGAATTTGTTTAGCTTTTTTTACCTAAATTAAAAGGGAGAAAAGTAGAGGTTCTGTGAACGCTTGTATTACTTGAATATTTATTTATTACATCATTAAATGTAATTAAACTGAGCAAAAAGATCTATATTACAAAATTTAAGGTAATAGATTTTAATTACGCGATTATTGATTAATTAAATGCACCTGGAATACATGGAAGTAGGAACTTTTTACATTTCGAGTCTAAATTCGATTTACAAATTTTCAATCTAGTAACAAAGTTCTTTACGTAATTCTGACGATAATTCATTTTGATGAAAAGAAAATATAACCAACGAATACACTTGAACAATGAAAACCTTACAATAGATAACGACGCGTAATGATATTCAAATGAAAAATCGCATGCGTACGAGAAACTAACTCTTTACAATTTTTACTTTGGTACGAGGGTACCCCGTTGGTAGGAATTATATTCGCTCAGGAAAGGGGAAACATTGTCGTTGAATAAAATTAATTTTATTTAATCAAATTGTCCAATGAAAGGCGACACTTCTAATCGTATTTTATTAAGTATTGCGTTTTATAATTTTCCTGAGTATGATACTTCTCGAAACAGTCCCCTATGTGAAGTCCTGGTTTCCGAGAACAAGTATCACAGTGGTACGCCGATTCTCGTCTTCCACCTTTAACCCTCCTATTGGAGCACACCAAGCAATCTCTGCTTCGACCTCTGTCGTTTCGTCGAAGTATATGAAGCTTTCCGTTAAGCCTTTCTTCCTTATCAGAAGTAGACGGTCTGCCTCGTGATGTACATCCATCGCGAAAACTGCCCACTAATTGGTCTACTAATTTTCGTAAGAATATCAAGTGTGCCATTGGAGTTTTACCTTCCCTTCTTAAAGACTCCTTGTACAAAATGTAACTGTTTCTAGCACACAACTCCAATCCCCAAAAGAACAGCTTCCTCCACCATTTATGAGATTTGCGTAAAAATGTATAAGAATTGCTGTGATCTATCTTGTCTGCGCAACCCATATGTTTATCGTACTCGATAATCATTCTTGGTTTTTGTTTACGAACGATAACACCCCCGTGCACTCGTGAATTTACCGATTCCATTTCGGAAGAATGCAGAGTGCTCAGCATCGTAATTACTTCTTTATCTTTCCATGCCAATAGCAACAAGTTCCCAGAACGACAAGCAAAGACGTTGTTGTCTTTAAATTCTGGTTCTTTTATTATTTCTGGAACATACTTCCGCTTTGGCTGCATCGTTCCGGTAATATAACATTTCAATTTCAATAATTCCTGGGCCAGAATTAAATTTGTATAAGATCTGTCGGTGAATATATGATAGCCTTGAGCTTCAGGATTAAAATTTAATACTTGTTGGTACAAATGCAGCACGATTCTCGATGTTACGGGAAGCTCAGATCGCATTAGAGACTCTACAGTGTAGCTGCCATAATATGGTAAAAATGAATATATGTATCCAGTGATGGAATCCACTAAAATGTAAATTCGAATTCCCCATTTTGTTAGCTTTTTGGGATTGTATGTAACGAAACTACTTCTTCCTTTAAATTTTACGATCGATTCGTCGACGTACAACTCCTTCCCAGGAACGAAATATTCTTTGAATTTATTATCGATGTAGTCTAAGTAATTACCAATCTTTTGTATTCTCGTCGTGATGCTTTTGTCGTTTGAAACGTTTACGTGTAGATGTAGCATCCAAAAGATTTGTTGAAATCTTGCTCTTCGAAAGATCTCATAGAAAAATGGTATCCTCGAGTTGTGTTGCTGAGACCAGTAGTCTTTCAAGTTACGAGTTATGATGATACCCATGTTTAATATAACTCCTATGAATGCTGACATCTCCTCTACGGTAACATCCACCCAATTGTTCCAAATAGAACGTTTAGACAAATTTTTCTCTTTAATTTTCTCATTGGCATATCGATTAGTCTGCTCTATGATATTTGAGAGTAATTCATCTGTGAAAAACAGTTTGAAAAAATCAATTGGCTCTACACAAGATTCAGGAGTCTGTGGTCCAACATTCTTTGGTCCCGGTGAGAAATTTAGCTTTGGAGGATTTATGTCTTCGCTTGTAACTTCATGCCAAGCAGTATATTCTTTCAATTCTCCCTCAAATATTTCAAAGTCTTCTAGTTCGCTATCGCTTGATATCTCTAAGTGCTTTACACGTTTTTTTATACAGTCTGTGTCACCACCAGTGTCAGAACTACTATTGTTGTAAGTATCTTCGACATCTGTATCCAAATACACTGTACAAAATTCATCGTCACTACTTTGTACATCTTCAACTGTATTGCGCTCTTGTTTTCTTTTAGGCATTTCAGAGCAATGGTATGCAAAATATTGTAACAAAAATATGCAATAACAGAGGAAAGATAATACGAAAAGAATAATAGAACGACTAGGTTACAATTACAGCTTTGTGCTGTTCATCAAAAGAATATCGTAATCATGCTACGGATATATGTAGGAAATACGAAGGTCTGGCAGAGTTATCATGTTTATTTTTTACATATACAACGCATAAACGTCATATATAAACATTCTAAATGATCGTGCAACGATCCAGTCAACCGAATAGTTATTGTTTATCTCTAAAAACAACTAAGTCGAGTCAATAGAGTTGCGTAAACAAATGGTAAACATTCGTGTCGGGGATAACCTGACTTTGACTGCAAAGGTTTATACTTTGATATGTAAACCACAGAGTAATTTTACAGAGTAGTTTTAGAGTAAATAGAATTTTATTGTGTACAAAGTACAGATTAGTTTTAAACAAATTAATAATACTCTGTATAAATAAATTAATCCGAGAATAACAGTAATATTCGCAATTTCTGTTATTTGTTCAGTTTATGGACCCCGAAACAGTATCGCCATCTAGCGGTCAGAGGGTGGAACTAAAATTCGTTGTTTATTTTTTTAAATATACGAAATACTTGTTAGAACCTTTGATATTAGTATTTGTTGATTAGATTAGGTTCTAAATAAATTAATAATACCCTATACAAATGAATTATACGAGGATAACAATAATATATTGAGTTTTTTTTTTAACTAGTGGCGCTAACTAACGGCCAGAAGGTGAACTAATTTCGGAGTTTGGTCAGCGCCTCTCTCGGGAAAACGCTCAAGTTTGTCCTCGAATAGTTCCTTTGTTTAACGCTAGATGGCGCCATTTGTATGTTTATAAAAATATTTTGTTTATTATTAATAAATAAGTGAGCCAGCAATGTGATATTAAAATTTGAATAGAAACCATTTTTTTAACCCTTAAATAATTTATTTTTTTAAATAAAAAACAAATGGCGCTATCTATCGGGTGAAGTCTGAAACTGTTCGGGGACAAACTTGGACATTTTGCCGCCGATGGTGCCACTGTCAACTAATTACCGGCATTTTACTTAATTACTTATTTTAACTTCTACTAATGAGTTTTAATGCCCCAGTGTTTGTTTTATAGCTACAAGTTTATTATTAAACGTAATAAAATAAATTATATAAGTATTGTTTAATTTTTTCTGTAATGTCGATAATTTTAGTTCCACCTTCTCACCGCTAGGTGGTTATAGTGTCGCTTGACACGTTTCTGGTCAAATAACAAAACCATAGGACGTTATTGTTATTTTCGAATCAATTCATTTGTACAGATTATTATTAATTTGTTTAAAGCTAATCTGGATTTTTTACACAATAAAACTACTCTGTGGTATTCAGTTCAAAGCGTAAACACTTTCAATCGAAGTCCAGGATATTCTTGACACGAGAATTTGTTGTTGTCATTTGTTTACGCAACTTTATTGACTTAATTCAGTTGTTTTTATAGATAATCAATAACTACTCGATCAATTAGATCGTTCGTACGATCATTTAAAATGTTAACATATGACATTTGTACATTGTGTATGTGAAGAAAGAACTACAAATGCAACATTGAGACTAATTATAATTGCAATTAAACTTACCTTTAAAATACTTGTATTTATACTTACCATTATCAAGGATTATGTATTATAAAATGTTGAAAATATATACTTACTTTTATTTATCACTATCCCTGGTCTTTCCCTGAAAGGTGATGTCTTTCGAAGGGTTCCTCCACGTAAAAAATAAAAAGACTTCCATCTAATTCTAAGATCCCTCAGATCCATACAATTCGAGACGTTTAATCATTGAAATTGAACAGTTCCCAGTATATAAAATTAAAAAGAAATAAATAGACCACCTTGTATACTGATTAGCCCACCCACTGACCTGCTATCAACCCACAAATGAAGTTAGACAACAACTCGTTAAATCGG